TGAATTAATTAATCAAATTTACTTTTTTTAAAGAAAAGAAAGAAAGGGGAAAAAAAAAACAACAATGATGAGCTAGGCCTCACCCTCTCCACACACTCCATGAGGGGCACACGGACGGTGGAGTTTCCCTCGATGGAGATGACGCAGGCTGGGGTCTCTGGGGTGGCGTCCATCAGAGCTAGCACGGCCTCTGCGCCCATGCGAGAACCCTGGGGGAGGGGGAGAACACACACATGGAGAACATTTTTAGTTTAGATTTAGTAGAGTTTTTATGGCGCTCGCAACTGCAAAAGGTCATATGGGCGCCAAAGGGCGGATGTCAACAGAGAAGTCTTTACAGGGAATCAGGCCTACTCTGCTCACCTCTCTAGCTTCAACAGCACAAAGTCTGCTTCGAATATAAAGGCACCCTGGAAATAGCGGGTCACAAGATTGTGACAAACATATAAAAGAAGTAGAGGAAAAAATGACACAAGTAAGGATTAGGAAAGAAAAAGCAGCAGTTCCCTGTTGAAGTTCAGGCACAGTAATGAGCGTGATATTGATAAATCAGCCCATTTGCAATTCTACTGTGTATAAGAAGATGTCAATGTCCCCCCTTTGGGAATGGCCTCAAGACACTTCATCAGTGGCATCGCCCCAGGAGGCGGGAGAATATGCCACAGAGGCTGCTTCTTCATTTGTGTAAAGTAAAGAGAAGCGTATTGACAAGACAACGGTCATTGAGTGATGGGGTAAAAATCTTACACAGACAGACAGACAGACAGAAAGTACAAGTAACAAAAATAAGATATACCACCTGTCAGTTGCTCAAGTACAAAAGAAATTATATATGTCCAACCCCCCACCCCCTGAAAAGTAAGCATCCACTCTTAAGTTCCTCAATTTTACAGTCATTTAAATTGAAGGTCAGGAAACTGGAAATTTTTTGTTTCCATGCTCACACTGGTGGACTATTGCAAGATTAATGTCAGTTCAGCAGGACTGTTTCTGAAAATTTTATTTGCTCTACAATTTTGCACCACAAACTACTTGGTATAACAGCGAAAGGCATTTCATTTGAGAACTGATGATCTACCATAGAAAAATGTTGATTAAAAATAATAATTAACATTTCTTCAATTTAGTAAAGAAGTGGGGAGGGCACTCAGATCTGCAATTCAGCAAGAAATAATTTCCCCAAGAAAAACAACAGCAGAGCCTTAACGATCAGAAAACATCATTTTCATCATCAGCAGCATTACTCCCCCCCCCCCCCCCAAACCACACCCAAGTGATAGTAGAAATTATAGCTTTCTAAGCCTTACATCCCACAACCTATGTATCCAGTCTGCTTCGGATCCCAATCTTTACAGGCATTGCAATTTTAAAGTGTTAATCATATCCTGTTACAAAGTCAAAACAGTAAAAAGACAGATTTTCAGAAAAAAGATAAGGTCTCTCCTACTTGCAGTCTAACCAAGTAAGCCTTGGACACCCACATGTACACAAACCAACACATCTGATAAGATTTTACCGCCCTGAAATTTTATAACACACAGCTGGCACATGTGTGGTCTTTACCCTGTGGCGGGTGGGTGGGTGGGGTGGGGGCAGAAGGGTACATGGTCCTAGGACTTTGATCTCATCCACGTATCTCTTCACCCCATCCTTTGATCTTCTCAGATATCTACCAGCTGTCTCCGCAAGTTGCATAAGCTGACGTCACAGTGCATTTCTCTGATCATCTTGCTTGTATTAATGAGAGCGTATAGTCAACCTTTGTTAAATGTTAGGTGACTCTGATGATGCAGACTTGCTGTTCCAAATTTTGGTCAGCCTTTGCGAGAAGTAGGTTGTGTTTTGAAGGGATCTAGTGTGGGCACCAAGCAAAGAAAGAAGCTAACATCAAGATTGATCATCATCATCATCTATTTCCAAACAATTTTCCTGATTCCTGTTTTGATTTTCTTGAAGCATAACAATTACTACCATGTTTTATGGAACTTGCAAATATCCAGCACCCAACCCCCCCCCCCCCCCCCCAAAAAAAAAATTCTCAGCACTCTCAACACAGTTTTGGTCATATAAGTGTCAAAAGGGATGCACTGCAAACGGCCTATCCAACTACTGATTAACAGGACTGACAAACATTTACAAAATTTTACAACTTGGCCCAAACATTCCCACGGTTATTTTACAAATCAACTTTTAATATGAATAGAAATGCATTGTCTCAGAAAAGGAAACTTGTGAAGTAAATGTAAATCTAGGACACCTTTTCTTGATCCAAACTCACGAACACAAGAACCTTACCCAGAAACCAAAAAATTACAATAATAATAACGTATTTAAACAGCACACATCTATGCTCTAAAGCATGCTCTGTATGCTTCACAACTTTTTTTTAAAACCCCAGCAGACTCTCAAACTCAGAAATATTCTAGGCTTATCAGGTAGCATACAATGGAAGTATCCTATTAAGTGCTCAAACACTAACAAACTGACAAGATTTTTTACTTATTTATGGGTGGGCACCCCTTCCCACTTTAGTGAAGTGAGGACTATCTTCTGTGGTTGACTACTGGACTCGTAATCATGAGGTTGTGGGTTCAGGGGTACGAGCTGCAGGACCGACATTGTGTCCTTGGGAAAGGCACTTTACACGAATTTTGACAGAAGAGAAGAAGCAAACCACACCAGAGCACCCACCAACCACTCACTCACCAGAACTCTGTCGAAGGCAGATGGACTCCCACCTCGCTGCACATGACCCAGCACTGTTACACGCGTGTCAATCTTCATGTCATCGCACAACAACTGTCGAGAGAAAGGAAGACAGAAAGTTGATTACTCGTGCAAATCCATCGTGATAAACAGTGTGCTGCTCAGCTGCGACCAGAAGTGTTTTAGTTTTAGTAAGAGTTTTACAGCACTTGCAACACAATAAGGTCATATAAGTTCACAAGATTTAAAGCGTTACAAGAAAGTAACAAACACAAAAAGAAGGAAGGGAGATAGAGGAGATAGATTTTTTATAGGAAAGAAGAAGCAAACCACACCAGAGCACCCCCCAACCACCCATGACCAGCAAAGACAGATTGATAGGCTACGAGAGTATACGTGTTCGTGTATGTGTGTGTGTGTGTTTGTTTAAGTGTGTGCTTGCATGTATGCCTGTGTGTATGTGTGTGTGTGTGTGTGTGTGTGTGTGTGTGTGTGTGTGTGTGTGTGTGTGTGTATGTGTGTGTGAGTGTGTGTGAGAGTGTGTGTGTACATGTGTGTGTATTTGTGTGTGTATTTGTGTGTGTGTGTGTGATCTGCATGTATATAATGTACATATACGTATTTATATGAATTTATGTACGTCCAAATTCCTCCATAATGATTAATTAATGTGGAATTTTCTTAATTCAAGACATGTTAAACAACAACAGCAACATGAGTCTTAAGCAAAACGGTAAAAGTAACAAAAAGAAATCTTGCTTGAGGAAACTGCCATCTACCTTCTTCACGTCGTCAGCTGTGATGGGTTTGCCGTCCCTGTCGATGGCTCCTTCAGCCACAAGGATGATGTTCAGACGCTGACCCAGATGTCTCTCCTGCAAAAAAAAAAAGAAATAACCAATAAACTTCTTTGTTTTCGTAAGAGTTTTACAGCACTTGCAACACAATAAGATCATATTAGTGCCGAAGATCAGAGGTGTTACAAGAGAGTAGAAAAACAAAAAAGAAGGAGTGAATAGATTTTTGATAGGAAAGAATGAACAAACCACACCAGAGCACCCACCAACCACCCACTCAGGCTACAGTTAGACACTGAACACAGACTGAGACAGAACAGACAGCCAAATGACTCTTACAAGAGCAAAAGCTGAGAGACAGAAGGGATAGAGGAAAAAAAACTATACAAAACAAAACAACAATAAACAATTACTACAGTGAACTCTGTGAGACAGAACAGACAGCAAAAACACTGTCACTACTGCTTTTAGTTTTAGTAGAAGTTTTTACGACGCTCGCAACTGCATAACGTCATATGAGCACCAGAAGATTAGAGGTGTTACAAGAGAGTAACAAACATAAAAAAGAAGTAGAGGGGATAGTTTTTCAGTAAGTGTTTTACGGCACTTGCGATATTATAAGGTCATATAAGAGCTGAAAATTAGAGGTGTTTCAACAGAGTAACAAACACAAAAAAGAAGGAGGGGAGATAAGGATGATAGGTGTTTGATAGGAAAGAAGGAGCAAACCACACCAGAGCACCCGCCAACCACCCACAACGGGAGATAAGGAAGAAGAAGCAAACCACACCAGAGTCTTCGCCAACCACCCACTGTTACTACGACAAACACTGAGACATTAAAGGAATAGAGCAAAAATAAATATGACTACAGTAAACACAGTCACAGGCAAAAGGGAGGGCAAAAAGACTGCCACACTGTGAGACTGGACGAACAACAACGACGACAACAAAAACAACAACAAAAACAATATCAACAAATGCAACACACAACAACAATTAAAACAACAAAGTCAGTTTCGTTTTTGGTAAGAGTTTTACGGCACTTGCAACACAATTAGGTCATATAAGTGCCGAAGATTAGAGGTGTTACAAGAGAGTACCAAACACAAAAAAAGAGGAGGGGAGATAAGAACGACAGATGTTTGATTGGAAAGAAGGAGCAAACCACACCAGAGCACCTGCCAACCACCCGCACCAACACGCACACAAATTGGCCTCAGAACAATTTTGTCCAAAGTGTACTTCAGTAAAGAGGCACTTTAGACAAAACAGAGCTCCAGTGAGCAGTGTAGAGTAGGTCGTCTCAGATGAGGAAGAGATTGAACTGAACATGGCCAACGAGGACAAAATAGTTCGTTCTGAGGCGACGATACGACAACCAGCAAAGAGACAGTCGCTAGGGCGACAAACTACCCACCGCGGCCAGCTTCTTGCACAGGGTCTCCCTCCAGTCACCCTCGGGCGGCCACTCGGGGATGAACACCCAGTCCGCCTCTGTGGCCAGGGCACCCACCAGAGCCAGATAGCTGCACACACACACATACACACAGAGAGAAAGTTAGTTTTAGTTTTAGTAGAGGTTTTACGGCGCTAGCAACTGCATAACGTATTATGAGCACCAGAAGATTAGAGGTGTTACAAGAGAGTAACATACATAAAAAAGAAAAAGTGGAGATAAAGACCACAGATGTTTGATAGGGAAAAAGAAGCAAACCACACCAGAGCACTCCCAACCACCCACAGAGAAAATTTCCAAAAAGTTTCTTTTGACCAGTTTAAATTTAGTAAGTGTTTTACGGAACTTGCTACACAATAAGGTCATATAAGTGCCGAGATTAGAGGTGTTATAAGATTGATTGATTGAGTAGATGTTTTACGGCACTATCGACACAATTTCGGTCACTGGTGTTATAAGAGTAACAAACACAAAAAAGAAGGAGGAGAGATAAGGACGATAGACGTTTGATAGGAAAGAAGGCGCAAACCACACCAAAGCATCCGCCAACCACCCACTGCTACAGAGAAACTCGTGTGCATGAGAATTTTTTTTTTAAAGATTCAAAGTCACAAACCCTTACTAAAAACTATAAGCACATTACTTTCAGTCCCAATTGAGAAATTTCATATTTGTATGTCTATCATTGTACATGAAAGGAATGAGTGCATTTCTGAGTGGATGCTTAATCTTAATACATAGTGATACTAACGTTCACCAAAAATCTTTATATCTTTGAATCTTAGTACATTGTGATACTAAAGTTCACCAAAAATCTTTATATCTTTGAATCTTAGTACATAGTGACACTAACATTCACCAAAAAATCTTTAAATCTTTGTACATCGACAATACTAAAGCATATCCTCCTAAAATTTCCCTTGTGGATCAGTCAAAAGTTACAGGGATCTTATCTTTCATTTTTCAAACAAGAGGCAGAAAACGGCACGATCAGACTAAAGCTGCCTTGCCCTGTATCATCATGTACTCACCCGCAGTGCCTGCCCATCACCTCCAACACAAAGGCCCTCTGATGGCTGGAAAAGAAAAACAAAGGAAACAAACACAACTTACAAAAAAGACCATTTAAAAAGGCGAGTAAATTTTGCCTTTACAATTTACTGTAAGAGAAAAATGCAACTTTAATGGACATGGCCAACACAATATGTTTGATCAGTAGCAAACCAGAGACAAAGTAGAGGCACATTTTGAACTATCATGTAGATTCTTTTTTAACCATTTGAGCCCTGACCTCCTGAGGCTACCATGCCCCTCTGCCTGAGCTCCTGAGCGACATATTACTAACATTCATAATATGATCAACAGAATCACATTCCAGATCCCACTCAAGGTAGTCCTCGTCATTACCAGAATCTAATTCACAAAGATCTTCAAAATAATCAGTGAAGACCTGTGTAGTAAACAATGTTTCCCACGCGCGTTTTGTCCCAGGCAGGCCGGTATAGGGATTAGGTCTCAGACACTGTTGTACCGGTGGCTAGGCACTTGGGCAGTTTTTGGGGGGGTTTTTTATAGTAGAGAGTTTTACGGCGCTCGCAACTGCATAAGGTCATATGAGCGCAAAGAGGTGGGTGTCAACAGAGAAGCTTTACAGGGAATCAGACTTAGACTGCTCACCTCTATAGCTTCAAAAGCACAAGCCCGCACAAGGTCTGCTTCGACTATCAAGGCACCCCAAAATAGCAGGTCACAAGGGAGTGACAAACATACAAAAGAAGTAGAGGAAAACAACAATAGTAAGGATCAGGAAAGAAAAAGCAGCAGTTCCCTGTTGTAGATCAGGTACAGTTATGAGCGTGACATGAATCAGCCCATTTACAATTCTACTATGCTAGAACGAGATATGTCCCCCCTTTGGGAATGGCCTAAAGACACTTCAGTCAGTGGCACTGGCCCGGGGGGTTTGGGCAGTTTTACACTCCACAGGTGTACTGGTGGCGAAGGCTCAAAGGTTTAAAAGTTTCAATAAACTTTTTATGCCACAATTATATCACATAGGTGCCAAAGACTAGAAGTACTACAAGAAAGTAACAAACACAAAAAAGAAGGGAAAGAGATTAGGAAGGAAGATGTTTGCCAGGAAAAAGGATTAGGAAGGAAGATGTTTGCCAGGAAAAAGGATTAGGAAGGAAGATGCTTGCCAGGAAAAAGGGAGCAAACCACATCAAAGTGCCCGCCAACCACCCACATATCACATACAGACTACGGGGCAAAATAATTTGACCATAGACAGTCCGCCGACACCCCTTTGCTGTGCATAGTAATAGAAACTGAAAATGAAAAGGTTTTACACCCCCACCAACACAATTTAGGTCTCAGTGGATACAGGCTGTTTCAACCCCGACAGTCAGAGACAATTTTGTCAGATTGGGATATTGCACCCCAGCAGAGAGAGGAAACCACTCTACAAAATCTCAATACTCGAAAATCTTACTTACATCTACTGCATTCAACATTGAAGAGATGAACGACAACATACCCAGTGGAAACAACCCCCCCCCCTCTCAAAAAAATAAAAATAAAAAACCACAAAACAAAAACAAGACACAAACACGAGACAGAAGACAACTGGTGAATGCACATCAAAAACAAAAAACCCCACAAAAGCAAAGTGACCGAAAACAACTCCTTATCTTTGAATTACAAAGCTCTATCTGCTCAGTCCTTAGTCCTCTGAAAAATTTGACGCTGAAAATTTTGAGTTTCACAACATGGTCATGCTTTATCCAATGCAATTCTAGGAATATCTAGTTAATAACGACTTTGAATTATCATACGATTTTGATAGAGCAGATGGAACATTTGTGAGGCGCGCTGACAAAATGAGCTACTTCTCGAAATCCGAAACTGGATCGAGATATCGGCAGAAAATTAACACTGGGGTCAGACTTATAGATTTTCAATTGACGCCATTTTCTTCAAGCCTACCATGTCTTTCATTATTCCATACTAACAAATTGTACAAATTCCATCTATAAAGTTGATGTATCATTTTCCATAAGGCTAAAATTAGAAAGAAGTAACTCATTTTGTCAGCACACCTCACGTATGGTTTCTGACATCACGGTCTTCTTAGAAACTCAAAACGGCCCAAAATGTCAGATAGAACTTTGTAATTATGAGGTAGCCAACTGATGGACCCACTCCTCACCTGAGAGCAGTTGTGGCGATGGCGTCGACGGCCTCGATGATTCGATGCAGGGCCGAGTCTGTGCCGATGGTCATGTCCGTGCCGCAGAAATCGTTGTCGATGGAGCCCACCAGGCCGGCGATGTTCAGAAGTTTGTTGGCCTCCCTTTGTTCTTTTGTGATTTTTCCTGGAGTGACAAAAGAGAGATAAGTTGCAGCTAACACTGGAATAGGCACAAAAACAAAAATAAACCCAATATTTTGGGGGTTTTTAACATCAGTTTTACAGTACTTCAACTAAATTTGGTCATATAAATGCTGATGACAAGAGGTGTTGCTAGAGAGAAACATACAAAGAAAAGGAGGAACCATAGATTAGTTTAGTAAGAGTTTTACAGCGCTCCCAACTACATCAAGTCATATGAGTGCGCGAAACAAGTTGGTTGCATTCACAACAGTTCACTGCATGGTTTGATCTTGGTCAATATTTCTATTAAAATGTTAAAACGTTAAAAATTCGTGGTAAATTTCTTAGTGAAGGAAAGATAAGGTTGATGGATGTTTGATATGAAAGAAAGAGCAAATTACACCACAGCACCCGACAACCGTCCACAAAGACAGAAGAGTTGCAGCTTACCGTAAGAAGGCACAAAAAAACCGAACCACATTTTGCTGAGATCTATCTGATTTTTATTCTTGAGTACAAAAGAGCACATCCACACAATATCAATAATTGTCACAGGAAAGTATAATATAAATACAGGCAGAAACGAAAAAAGGAAAGAAAAAAATTTCAGAGCTGCTAATGGCACCCTCTTACAATCCACTTTAGTTTTCATTACAGAAAAACACATTGACACAATTATGATCATTTACAGAAAATAAAATGAAGACTGACAGAAAAAAACAAAAGAGGTAGACAAAAAGAAGTAGTTCCTACCAGTGTTGTTTCTTTAATGCTTTTTTTTTTGTACCATTCCTTTTTACTATCCCCCATCTCTCTCTCTCTCTCTCTCTCTCTCTCTCTCTCTCTCTCTCTCTCTCTCTCTCTCTCTCTCCCTCCCTCTCCCTCCCTTTCTCTCTCCATCCCTTCCTGTCCCTCTCCTTCACACTGCTCCATCAAATAATCACTTCCCATTTACTTAACTACACCACCAGGCCTTCAGGCAGAGAAGAAAAAAAAAACTACACTACACACCCACAGAAACCCACACCACATCCGCACGGGACTCGAACTTAGAACTCACCTTCACCCAGAAGCTCGTCCAGCAGACTGGGCCACTCCTGACGGAAGCAATTGGCGCCGGTCAAGCTTCCGTCTCCCCCGATGACCACCAGGTTGGTGATTTTACGCTGAACCAAGTTGTTGGCCGCGATCAGCCTCCCGCGACGCTCGCGGAAATCCTTGCACCGAGCGCTGCCAATGACAGTGCCGCCCTGACAGAGGGAATAACTTCATCTTTTAAATTCATACAAATGATAATAATAAAAGTAATAATAACAATATCTAACATTATTTTTTCACTATTATTTGTATCATTATTTTTATTATTAATATCATTATTATAACTATTATTACCACTACAGTTAAGAGAACAAAACAATAATAATAACAATAATAATATTAATAATAAATAATAATTATAATTATTATTACCATTATTTTTTAAACAACAAAACAACAGCAACAACAAAAACAACAACAATAATAATAATAATAATAATATGTAGCATTTACATAGCAGTTTCCCACTCAACAGTAAGGTCTCTGTGTTTTACAACTTATATAAACTCAAAAACACACTAGTTTAAACTCTGCATCTTCCCATTAAAAACCCCATTCAGTCTCAACATTTTCCATAAAAGATAAAATCACTGTGGGACTCCATAGCATAGTTTTACTATATTTTTCATATTAGACCAAAATGTTCAGTCACCATATTTCCCACGAAACTATGCTGTCTCTATTATCATCCCCATGAATCCCATTTCCCATAGAACCATGTTCAGTCTCTACATATCTCATGAGACACATTTCCCATGAATCCATGTTCAGTCTCTATATTGTCCCATGAATCACATTCCCCATAAAACCACGCTCAGTCTCTACAAATCACAGGAATTACATTTCCCATAAAATCCTGTTCAGTCTCTATATTGTCCCGTGAATCAAACTTCCCACAAGAACCACGCTCAGGCCCTACATATCCCATGAACCACTTTCAGCCACAATAATTCAGCCTCTTCTTCTTCCTCAGGGGCCAGGTCTGACACAGACATATTGAATATCATCATGCTCTAACCCTTCCCTTCTTCATCAGCTCAATTGTTTGAGCGCTTAATCAGCTGCCTGAAATATATGCTTCCTGGGAATCTGAGAATGTTTATGGGGTGTTCTATGGTCTGCTGGGGTTATAATATAGTGTGAAGCCGCACGCATAGAGCATGCTGTTGAGCGAGGGTATGCGCTAATCAAATGCTATTTATTATTATCATTATTATTATTTCTATTATTATTCATACATTTCCCATAAAGAGAGGAAGAGGATAAGAGGACAAGGAGGACGGACAGCAAGGAGAAAAAGAAAAAGCAGGAAGGAGAAAGAGAAGAGTAACAAACACACAAAAAAGAAGAAGGAGGAGAGATCAGGATGATAGACGTTTGCTCGGAAAGAAAAGGAGCAAAACCACACCAGAGCACCCGGCAACCACCCACGCGTGTAAGGGACACACAGACAGACAGACAGACAGACAGACACGCTCACACCTCTCACCTTCTGCAGTATGCCGGACACGCTGGACCAAGTGGCCTCCGCAATGTTCTCCCCGCCATCCACCATTCCTTGGTAGCCCTGGAAAGTAACACAGACATATTAGTTTTTGTTAGAGTTTTACGGCACTTGCAACACTATAATGTCATAGTGCTGAGGATTGGAGGTATTAAAAGAGAGTAACAGACACCAAAAATCAGGAGAGGATCCGCGATCAGGAATCAGAACAATCGATGTTTGAGGTACAGGAAAGAAGGTGCAAGCCACACCAGAGCACCCGCCAATCACCCACCACCATAATCTGCTATTGTTAACACACCCTGTTAAACTCTATCTGGCTGGGTTTCAGGCAAGGATCCCATCAGTTTTATAGCGTTTGAGCGCCTCAAATCAGCAGCTTCCACTATATACTTCCCCAGAAGCCGAGAATGTTTCTGAGTGTTCTCAGTAGTAAGTGTTTTACGGCACTGGCAACACAATAAGGTCATAATATAAGTGCCGAAGAATAGATGTGTCAGAAGAGAGTAACATACACACAAAAAAAAGAAGGAGGAGAGATAAGGACAATAGATGTTTGATAGGAAAGAAGGAGCAAACCACACCAGAGCACCCGCCAACCACCCACTCTCAGAGGATTTGCTGTAGAGCATGGATATGCACTATATAAATGCAATTATTATTATATTGCTTTCAGGGAGTCTCTCTTCCCAAAAGGAAAGGGGGGGGGACTAAAGGGTAAAAATTGTTTTATTTATGTTTTACTAGGAGTTTTACGGCACTTGCAACACAATTAGGTCATATAAGTGCGGAAGATTACAGGTGTTACGAGAGAGAAACAAATACAAAAAAGGAGGAGAGATTATACGGACGATAGATGTGTGAAGAAATGAGAGCAAACTACACTAGAGCATCCATGGGGAAGACTATGAGAGATTCAACACTAACACACACACACACACACACACACACACACATAAAAAACCCACACGCACGCGCGCACTCCACACACACACACACACACACACACACACACATACACACACACACACCAGTATAATAATAACAATAATAATAATAATAATAATAATAATAATAATAATAATAATAATAATAATAATAAACAGCATTTGTACAGCGCATATTCCCGCTCGACAGCAAGCTATAGAAGCGGTTTACATTATGATATGTGCATACACATTCAGAAGGGAGAGAAAGGGGCGAGAAAGAGAGAAAAAAAGAGAGAGAAGAGAAAAAGAGGGTGAGAGAGAGAGAGAGAGAGAGAGAGAGAGAGAGAGAGAGAGAGAGAGAGAGAGAGAGAGGTGGAGGGAGGGAGGGAGGGAGGGAGGGAGGGAGAGAGAGGGGGGGAGGGGGTCGGGATAGAGGGAAAAAGAGAAAAGAATGGAAACGGACAGACATAACATAACATTTATGAGATTACATGAGACAAAAGTAGGTCTGCAAGCGGATTTAACAACTCAGAATATAGAAGGAAAACGATCACTCACATAATATTATAGACAAACAGATACAACAGGGGCAAAGAAAACAAGCGGGACCAATCGGTGCCCCTCTCCAACAA